GCGCACCACTCGGGAGAATAAAGGAGAAACGGTTGAAACGGCCGTTTCCCTACGACTTTAATAAGAAGGCATGTTTCTGGAAGGAAATGAAACGTCAACTCTCACAGTGTTATACAGTAAATATCAGATCTAGAATGAATCATTTATTTTTATTATCAGTGTTTGTTAAGGACATTATTGGGCCTTTTTGCTCCGTATGAATTGTTAGCAGCTGACATTGAGCCGTCGGTTTGGGCTAAGCCTGCCGTTAGCAGTCCCTGTTTCTCACTAACCAGAATAGAGGTTCTCGTCATCCTGTCTCCTTTTCTGTGCGTTCCAGTGTATAAATCTCCAGAGTACGAGTCGCTGGGGTTCGACCTGACAGTGGAGCGCCTTGTTTCTATTGGTTATCCCCAGGAGCTGCTGAACTTTGTCTACGATCCTTCCTTCCCCACCAGGTGGGTCTGGCCTGTTTTCTGATTCCTTGTGATGCATGATCGACTTTTCTGACATTTTCTCTGCCCTCTGCTTCATCTCAGAGGTTTGGTGTTTGACACCATGTTTGGTAACCTGCTCAAAGTGGACGCCTATGGGAACATCCTGGTGTGCGCACATGGTTTTAACTTCCTGAGGGGGTGAGCCTCACACTCTGAAATCTCTATTTAAAGTCTTAAGGAAGTCATATTTAAATGTCAAATCATTCTGGCTTAAAATGTTTATAAATGTACTCTTTACCAGACGATATTGTCCCAAAATTTAGAAAATTTCTATTAAAAAAAAAAATCCTGTCTTAAAATCTATGTTGTTTTTTTTTGGTAACCTAAGCAAGCCAAGTAAGTAAAACTCAAGCAGAACACCTAAATTCGGCCAATCGGTTTTCTTCTATTTGAGGCAGCCGATTGGCAATTCTCTCACCGTCTGCGTTTGCTGTCGCTATCTCGTTCATTCATTGCTGTGCTTCAGTTAACCTCGCGCCATGATGACCAATGTGATAACCTAGTTTTGCATTTCTTTAATATTGTTTCTCTCACTATGAGTGTCTCCCTCATTCAGAGCCACACTCACAGAGAAAATGTGTGTGGAATCAGCTGACCTTTTACTTCTGTGAACAGACCAGAGATCAGAGAGATGTACCCTAACAAGTTCATCCAGCGTGGAGATACAGACCGTTTCTACATCCTCAACACTCTTTTCAACTTGCCAGGTTAGTTTGCTTCGCCCGGACGCTGGAAGCAAACATGATCACTCTGGGATCTATTTATAATTTCTAAATGTATCATTCATTATTGAGTCTGAAAAGCTCTGCAATCATCCAAGTACTAATGATAATCCAATCATCACAAAGACAGTAAAGGTAGCATAGTGTGGCATCAGTGCCACCCAGGGTTGTGGAAGAAATTGGAAGAAAGTCCTTGGAATAGATCCTATATTGGAGAACTTGGATAGTTCCATTGAAAACCCATCACTCCACCTGACAAAACCCATCAGGAAATTACATATTTGGAATGGGGAGTGGCGGCCTAGTGGTTAGGGCATAGGGCTTTGAATCCTGAGATTGTGAGTTTGATCCCCCACTCCCACAGACTGCCACTCTGGGACCCTGAGCAAGACCCTTAACCTGGGCGCCTCACAATGGCAGCCCACTGCTCCCCAAGGGGATGGGTTAAATGCAGAGAAGTAATTTCCCTCTGGGATTATTAGAGTATATAAAATAAAAAAAAAATCAGAAGTTATAATTTTCTAACAGCTAGTGATGGTGAGATGAAGCCTCATTGTGCCATTTGGGCTAATTGCTTTAACAATCCCCACAGTTCATGAAGCTTAATGTGAACATGTCACCACCTACTGGTGGAGTACAGAACTACAGTTAGTAATATAATTATTTAGGTCCCCTTGAAATTGTCCATGATTGGTGTGTATAAAAAAAATCTTCAGTTTTTTTTATTTTTTTTTTTTTACGTGTAAAACGTCTCAGAAGAGAAAAATCATTGTTTTTCTGCCATTTTAGTTAAATGAGCTGAAGCAGACGGTGAAAGTCTTTGTGCAAATTAGGCAATGATGAGCAAAATGAAAGGTTTTAGTCTTTTCTATTCAAAAATAATAGTTTTTTCCACAGTTTTTGGTTGGGAGTTATGTGTTCAACCAATCTTTTGGCTAAACCAGCAAATCTAATTTGGCAGCTTTTTTACCCAATTTATGTTGATAAAAATGACAGGTGTAACTTTCTGAAGGACTGGTGTGTTCAGTCCCCACCAATAATCTCTGCTTTTTTCCCCTTTCTGCTTATTTCCTTTAGCCAAAGGTAACAGAGGTTGGGTGCAGCTATCTGTGTTCAGAGCGTTTTGAGTCAGTGTTTTTTTCCTCTCTCATGCTGCTCCCGTGTCCCGCCTCTCGGTGTTACATCATTGGATCTGTCGCTTTGAGACATTTCATTCTGTGATCTGATTTGCGGCCCATTTCACAGCGCAAGGAGAGAAGCTACATGGTTGAATTAGAGACACACAGCAGCACTCAGTGAATTTAGGCAGCAGCTACTTCGATATTTAATCAAAAGTTAGGAGACAGGAGGTTAAAAAATTAGAGATGCCACCGAAAAATCTGTTTTTTTGACATACAGAGCTTTTTCAGCAAAAACAACAACAGATTATAAGATTATACAAGTTAGTATTATAATGCAAGAAGCTTAAGAAAATATGGTTTAAATGTTATTCTTTACTATAAAATCTTGGCTTCTTAGAGGACCATGACTCCCAGTTACAGGTTAAAATGTTTTCTTATTGTACAGACAGAATCAGACTACAGAGCTTCTACATATCTTGAAATATAGTTTCTGGCATCATTATATCAGCAAAGAGGTTCATAAATCTTTTTAAGCAGAGATAAGTAGGGAGAGCTGTAGATTTAAAGGGTAAACAGATTTACTGGGATATGCAACATGCAATAAAATATATCTCCATGTTTACAAGAAAGTTTACAAGAAGAAAATAGGCTATGCTATATTTAAAATGCAGCATATCCATAGTTTTCTGGATGGAATTGAAATTTTACTTTAGGCATAATATATCAATTTTAGCATTGGAATCGGCCGTTATTCGTTATTTTTTATACATACCTATGTAATGCCCTAAAAGGCATCTCTCTTACTACCTATTCGTATAAATATCAGTGTATTGTGGTTCTCATGTGTTTTTCATCAATAGGAAAGCATTCAATAAAAATATATGTTTAAGCTCATTTTTGGACAATACAAAAACCTAATGAAAGCGCGTTGTTTGAATAACTGTAGCTCCATCAGCTACAAAGTTACACCTTTGGTAAAATAAAAATTGGTCACTTTGGCCAAAATGCTGATTAAGCAGTACAGCAATTTTCAAAAGCTTATACCAAGTCTCGAAGCCACAACCTTTGGATTGCAAGGCAATGTCTTACTGCAGACACTACTTGCATTACTATCTCATCCTCAGAAAGGAACACTACGGGGTGTGCAGGTGGCGCAGTGGTTAGCACGCACAGCCCATGTACGGAGACCTTAGTCCTTGACGCAGCTGACCCGGTTTCCAATTCGACGTGTGGTATAAACCACACCCCCTTTCCTGTCAGCCTACTGTAGAAAAATGAGCCACTAGTGCCGTAAAAACTCAAAAAAAAAAAAAGAAAGAAAACACTACACAATAATAATAATACAACTGAAACCAGTGGCTTAATCAGATTCTGATTATTATATTGTTTGATCTAAACGTAGTAGTTTTAACCAACTAGATTGGTTGTTTTTTCAACCAATTTTTCCAACCTCTATCCAACTGACATCAACTCTCCTACAAACTGTATAAACGCATGTCGAAGTTCCAAGCGAGCTGAACCACTTCCTGGGGCGGTAATGTGGTATGGCGCTAGCGATGCTTCGGACATCTATCAATTTTGGCCCCTCCCCTAAATGAAGCATGCCTTGATATGCGTTTCCCACTTCACTACTTCCAAGCTTCCAAGCCTCGGCTCGTCTCATGACATCACTACTAATAGCCTTTAATTGGTAGAAAAAACTCTTGTATCCTCAGATTCCACCGGCTCATTCTTAGTCTTTAATGTCTTCTGCTCTTCCTGCCCCCAAACCTTCCTTGGTTTATAGATATTGAAACTCATCTCCAGGTTATTACTGGGTTTGGGTCTGCTTCAGGCAAAATATTCATCAAAACAAAGAAAACTTTCCAGTAAATTTGACTGTCCAAGTTTCTTCCGGAAGAAACTGTTTCTTACCTTTCACCCCTCTGCTATAACCTGACGGTTCTCTCCTTCCCTCTGCAGAGACGTACCTGTTCGCCTGCCTGGTGGACTTCTTCAGTAACTGCCCCAGATACGCCAGGTAAGCCCATTCTCTGGGTATGGGAGGGTGGGGTTGTAGAATAAACCAAGAGGAGGAGCTTTGAAATGTTTGTAGAAGGTCTGGAGAACCCCTCCTGGAGTCTGAGGATGTCGGCTGAATGATCCCAGTCCGGTTGAGGCTCCTGAATGACTTTTTCTGTCAATCCCTCTGCAGCTGTGAATCCGGCTTCAAAGATGGAGACCTGTTCATGTCCTACAAGAGTATGTTCCAAGATGTGCGAGACGCTGTGGACTGGGTCCACTTCAAGGTAACCCCCTCCCCGTCCTGGTTCTGGTCCTGGATGATCTCCCTGCTTCCATTCTTGCCCTGATCACCCTCTCTGCTGTCTCTCACCTGGTTCCCACAGGGATCGTTGAAGGAGAAGACCGTTGAGAACCTGGAGAAGTATGTGGTGAAGGATGTAAGTGAGCTGTAGTCACAGTGAGAGCTGGCCTGCAGCTGTGAGGAAGTGTTGGGTTTGACTTGTGTTGTCTTGTCTGGACAGCCAAAGCTCCCTCTGCTCCTCAGCCGCATGACTGAAGTAGCCAAGGTGTTCCTGGCCACTAACAGCGACTATAAATACACAGAGGTGAGTCTGCAGGCCTGATGCTGTTTCTGGGTGGGACCGTAATGACTCTGAAGACGTTTAGCAGCAGGAGGAACTGAGCCTCTTTATCCTGATCCCTCCTGATGTTCTGATCCATCCTCCAACCTGCAGCATCAGCTGCTGTTCTAATATCTTCCTTTCTTCCTGTAGAAAATCATGACCTACCTGTTTGACTTCCCTCACGGCTCGAAGGTGCGTATGCCGTTTACAGCCGTCTGAGCGCTGCGTAGAATCAGCCGCTGAACGATGTGTTTGCTGTCCCTTCAGCCCGGCATGCCCCACCGGCCCTGGCAGTCCTACTTCGACCTGATCCTGGTGGACGCCCGCAAGCCCATGTTCTTCGGGGAGGGAACCGTCCTGCGGCAGGTCGACACTGTAAGCGAGCACAGACAGAACCTTGATGTTTGTGGAGATCTGGACGTGTGTGACGAGGCTTTCGTTTGGTTTAGACCACAGGTCGGCTGAAGATCGGAACTTACACCGGACCTCTGCAGCACGGCATCGTCTACTCTGGAGGTAAACGCTCAAGTGGTCCGGTCCAGCCCAGGCCGACTGTTTCCTAAGCCTCCATTATTACACAGCACCTTGCAAAAGTATTCACACCTTTTTATACTTCCTGGTTTTTTAAGTGGGAAACAGACTTCCTGTTTGAAACGCCTTAAAAGGCATTGAATTCTTCAGTATCAAACTGAGGCTTTAACCACTTAAGCCATAAAGGTCTTAGGAGCAAATTTCGCCTGAAATTACATATGTGAAATAAAACAAGTACAGCTCCCAAACTATAAATTGCAAAAATAGTTGTTTATATTTGTGTGACAGAAAGGCATTGAGCAATATTTTTCAGGTGGAACCACTATTTTAAATGTCACCAAGATTTATAGGTTATTAAACAAAGAAAAAATGAAAAAAAAAAATGTGCCTCGCTAAAATGTTTCCCAAAATAAACACTGCAAAACACATTGAAACCCCATTTGAAACAGGTGTTGTGAATGAAACGGTGTCCAGCTTGAAAGAGCTCCTGTGTGTCGCTGAATGTGAGCATTGATGACTGAAAGACATCTTCTGCCTCCATTTATCTGTTTATTTCAGTGTGTTGAATTCATGTTAATGTTGATTTAAAGACATTTTAATTAGCGGAAAAAATTGCAGCGGGAATAAAAAAGAAAAGGCAAATCAACCAAAACTTAAAGGGGAACACTGCATGTTTTACATTGGCCCCTTAATTTTACGCAATTACATCAGGTTCTACTCACGCATATGAGTTTTGTGTCTTTTGGAGCCGTTCTGAAGATATTCCCTTAGGTTATATCCAAGTAACGTCTTAGTATGGGCAACGAGTTGAAGGCACAAACTAAACTGTTCATAATTTATTCTTTGTGGAGAATAAATTATGAACAGTTTAGTTTGTGCCTTCAAGGCGTTTGCCCATAGGAAGACGTTACTTGGATTACAAAACTGAATATCTTCAGAACAGCTCCAAATGACACAAAACAGATATGGGTGAGTAGAACATGATATAATAACGTAAAATCAAGGCCCCAATGGAAAAAAAAACAGTGTTCCCCTTTAAGCAAACCCCATGCAGTACCTCGGTGGACTCCCTAGGGGTCGTGGACCCCTGTTGAAGCCCTAAGGTTTACACAATATTTAATAAAAGTTGAATTTTGATAAAATAGACTTTGAATTCTTCTAAATCTGTTGTTTTGTTTGCAGTCAGTCAGTCCTCTGGATATAAAAAGGCTCAGTCTCTGATATTTCCAGTCAGCTGTCAGATAAGGAGCATCAGGGCTACCTGAAGGAAGCTCTGCAGGTAGACCTTAGAGAGTGTTTTGAGACAAACCAGTCCTGTGATCATTGTGAGCAGTGACCAGCCTTGTTAAGGTTATCAAACATTTACTTTGCGGTTAATGATACTCCAGATGTTTCTGGGTTATTTGGTGTCCCTGTAATCTCCAGCCTGTTCAATAAACAGAACATTTTGGAAACAGGAAAAGCCACCACCCTACTTCTAACCGCTACAGGATTGGATGAAACATGTCTGAGTAGAAATGGAGGAAACATCTGTTCCCTCATTGGTGTTCTGAGTTTTTGGAGCTTCTTTATTTGGTTTACTAAAGCCTTTGTTGTTGTTCTCTCAGAGAAAATCCATAAAAAGAATATAGAAAATAAACCAGAACCGAGTCCCTTATTACCGCCATGTGGAGCGAGCATCTACAAACTGATCAGTGTGGAGAGGATTTATACTGATGATAGTCTAAAGCCTGATTTATACTCAGAAACTAGGTTGTCTGCGTGTGTGTCGCATTGAATGCAAATGTGCCCCCGTCCCTTCCACAGACACTCTGCTGCACCTCTCCAAAATTGTAGGTGACCGCAGACAGGACGCCTCTGATTGGTCAAATCTACATCCGCTCTACACTAGGCGTATTTCCTGTTTGGTACCTTACCGGCTTGTTTTGTTTGTATGACCGCCATTGTGGAAAAAGACTCGTGAATATGCACGTGAATTCGGTCCCATGTCCCTCCGTTGTTGCACAAACTTGCCCCCACTTCCTCACCGCCTCGGACGTATCTAGACCCACAGCTAGTTCCTGATTGTCCCTCTTGCGTTGTGGCGTGGAATAACATAGTGCAGACCACGCTTCAATATTGGGCAGAAATCTAAAATATCTGCGACAAGCTCACTGCGACACACTGCTGCGGGAGGATAACCAGGCCATAAGAAGCACGGTTCTGAATGTCCTTTACAACGTGGCAGGCAGTCGTCAGCCAGACCGTTAAAACGTCTCTATTCTTTTTCTCAGGTTCGTCAGACATTGTTTGTGACCTGCTGGGTGCTAAAGGGAAGGACATCATCTACATTGGAGACCACATCTTTGGAGACATCCTCAAGTCGAAGAAGCGTCAAGGCTGGAGAACCTTTCTGGTCATACCTGAGCTGGCCCAGGAGCTTCATGTGTGGACTGACAAGAGTGGTGAGAGCCCTTTGCATCACCTGTCTCATTTTTGGACGTTATGTCCTAGAGGACGGACAGAGCTGAAGGTCTGTGGCTAACAAACAGCCTCACTGCTGATGCTATTCAGCAAACGAGGAAACTAAACTCGATAGAAGTCAGACTTTTTTCGGTAAGCCAGTGACCGTACATCCTAAGATTGGCTGAACGTTACGACGATTACGTAAAACGTTGTGGTTGCCTAGACAACAATACAACAATATCATAACCCATAAAGTGTGCTGTGTCAGAAGCATCTGTAGCGTTAGCGTGTCTAATGACCTTTGAAGTTTTACCTGATTGGTAACGAAATATAAAAAGATCATGGTATAAAGGGGGAGAGCTGGGTAGCGGTGTGGCTAGCTGTGCTCAGTACTGATCTGTTTATTCACTGGATTGCTGATTGCCCTTTTGTAGTACAGGTTAGAACTGGAGCCACCGTCCGCCATATTGGTACTCCCTAGTTTGAGCGGTCTCAGAGTAAACGATATGTGCGCTACAGCATCAAACAATGATGTTCTTGTTTTTAGGGGGACTTAAGCCTTTTAAAATAAAGATGAATATATCACTTTAACACACACTGGCTACTTTAACTTATAATATAAAAAATAGGCACATCACATTGCATCTCTAATAGATTATATTAGGTGGCTAAAATATATGATTTCCCTCTCTTAACTTTGGCAAATAATGATTAAATATCATTATTGATGAAGAGAGGAATAAACACAATTAAAGACTTGCAGGTTAATTAATTTATTCCCATGTTATGGAGGGGGAACAGATTGTTTCAGGCAGCTGAAATATCCATTTTCTCCTCTCCTCCTCCCATATCTTATAAGAACAACTTTTTTCCAAATTTCTAATACATTTCTATGTGTGATTGTATGTCGTATACTAGCAATGTCCTTAATCCAGTAATCTGTCATATTTTACATTAGAACGGGATTTAGCAGAAAGTCTACACTGTCATTGAATTAAGAACTCTTAATTGTTGTGCCCTGTTATCAGCCAGTTTCCATCCTCTTATATCACCAATGAAAAATAATAAATACACACTACGTGTTGGAAAATTGTGTTTGGAGACTGACTTATTTCAGTCAGGCTTAAAGTGACAAAAGTTGGAAAAAAAAAAACGATTCTCTTGTCTTGGCGTTTAAAAAAAAACAATACAAAACAGATTAAAGAGCTTATTTATTTTACAATTTTTTAAACAACAGCTGCTGATTAAATTGGACGTTACAACCGTGACATGATTATAGGAGTTGTTTTTGGCGAGTAATCGATGAGAAGCTCTGTGAAAATGGTCACATCCGCCATGTCCGATCTGTTTAGCAACAGTTAGTGATGGCAACTTCTTCTAAATGGTAATGCTACAGGCTGCTTTCCTGCACATGCTGCCACCATCTGGAGAATTCCAGTACTGCACATTTTACTCAGATCAGCTCAGAAGCGAGATCCAGGACTCTTGGGGAAACATCCTTGGCTGTAGCCCAAGTATCCGCTCCCTAGATCTGCCACTGCATACAAGTATGTATGCACAAACTAACACTGAGTAAAATTACCTGTGAAACGTCTTCCCACAGCCGGCAAACTGCTTGTTTTTGCTGCCAAATGCTACACAGGTAGGCATTTTACTGCGCGTGGGGAGTACCAGCATGGCGGACAGTGGCTTCACGTTTTTCGGCCAATCAGCAATCCAGTTAATAAATAGATATCAGTTGTACTCAGTAGCTAACGGGTTAGCCTCTTGTAGCCCAGTCAGTTAGCCATATTAAGCTACACTACTTTTAACTTTATATCAACATCCGTCCATTTTTTAAAAGTAGAATAACTTGTTTTCTTTGACTAAAATCTCCACAACAGTCATTTTTAAGATGTTCCATTTGTCCTCCTCTGCCCTCAGATCTTAATAAAATGAATTCTTGAGACTTTTTATTTAAATTCAATTCAGTTCAGTTTATTTGTATAGCGCCAATTCACAACGCATGTCATCTCAACGCACTTGGCTCATGGCAGAACTATTTTCTACTCCCAGCTACCTTAGGTCGCCAAAGAAACATAAAATAATAGCAAATATAGGTCATGATGAGTTGAAACTCCAGAAGAGATTTGATTCTTAAGCAACTGGTGCAATATAGTTTTTCTAAGGGGTATTGAACATATTGTGACGTCATCAGCAGGGGCGAGGCCCAGAGCAGATCTGGTACTTACATCATCAACCTTCCCTCCAACAGGCAGAGTGAAGATGGAATATATTTGGAAACGTTTTTGTTTTTTTTGTTGCTAATTATGAGCTGGTTAGGAGTCTGAAGCTGCTCAGGCCTGAAGCTCTGCCTGTTCATAGATGGACCAACATCTGTAGGGTTTCACAGCTCCACATAAAAGGTATTACGATAGATTGCTGAGTCATGGCTGTTGTTTGTCTTTGCAGCCATTTTTGAGGAGCTTCAGTCCCTCGACTGCTTCCTGGCTGATCTTTACAAGTAAGGTCCTCTTCCTCCAGCGCCTGTGTTGTTTGTTATTTCAACATATCCTTTCAGCGTGTTCTTTTTTGAAACAGCAGCATAAGAACTTCTTCTTTCAGATGAGCTCTAACAGCTAACATTAACTGGACGGGTCGATCCCCCTCTGCTTCTGTCCTCAGGCATCTAGACAGCAGCAGCAATGAGAGACCAGACATCAGCTCCCTGCAGAGGCGCATCAAGGTAGCACACTGTAGAAAGGACATCTGGTTAATGATGATATTGAAGGGACCACTGGTCACTAACTCTATAGAAGGGAACAAATGTCCACTGATAGAAGGGACACCCAGTCAATGATTTTTTTGGAAAACCCTGTCCCTGATTCTATAGAAGGAATAGCTGGTCAGTGACGCTATAGAAAGACACAGAGTCATTGACGCTATAGAAGGGACACCCGTGCACTGAAGCTATAGAAGGGATAATTGGTCATTGACGATATAGAAGGGACACTCAGACAAATATGCCATAGAAGAGACACCTGGCCATTGGCGCCGTAGAAGGGAACACCCCGTCCCTGATGCCATAGATGGGATAGTTGGTCATTGACGCTATAGAAATGAGACTTGGTCACTGACACTATAGAAGGGGACATCCAGTCTCTTATGCTATAGAAAGGATACCAGGTCACTGATGCAATAGAAGGGACATCCACTCACTGGTTTCATAGAAGAGAACATCCCGTCCCTGATGCTATAGAAAGGATAGTAGGTGTCTGAAGTAATAGAATGGAAAGTTT